GTCATGTCGTTCAGCAATCAACCACAGGAAGATCGTTTCGATCCCATGGTGTACATTTTTCCCCGCGTGACCAAGTGCACGTTTCAAAAATTCGGTGCATCCGGATCCATACAAACCCATGACTCGCTATGCATACTCCCGTTGAACATAGTCAACGAGAAAACCTACATATTTCTGTGGTTTTGGTACATAATATTGGCGACTCTGCTCTCGGCTCTGTTGATATACAGAGCCGTCATATTGGCGGCTCCGAGCGTGAGACCCTACATATTGCACCGTAGAAATAGAATGATTCCGTTCGACATTGCGAAAGCCGTGTCGCGGAAAACGGACGTCGGAGACTGGTGGATATTGTACATGTTGAACAGGAACATGGATCCGATCATATATAGGGAATTTATTAGCGAATTATCGAAAAAAATCACGGAAACGAACAATGGAAGAGAGTAAGTGTGAACATGATGGCGAACAAAAACAGAAAAAAAAAAAAAAAAAAAAAAAGAAAAACTATTGTTTGATGGAGTGAAAATGGTGAAAGAAGGAGAGAGAAAGAGAGAGTGAAAAAGTGAGAAAGTGAAAGGGTGTGCGTGCGTGTGTATGTGCGTGCGTAAGTGTGAGAAAAGGAAAAATAAAATAACAAATAAATATATAAACTCCCCGTACGAACGCACACACGTTCGCACAACCAACACGCACACGCACGCACACACACACGTTTTGTTTATGTTTTTTTTTTTATATGTTTTCGGGTTGCGGCGTTCGTTAAAGTTCGTTAGGGTCGCGGTTATTTTTAAACAATTAATTTTGTTAATAAAAAAAAAGAAAAATTTTTCGCCATAATAATAATAATTTATTATTATTCAATAAATAAGAGGAAAAAAGTTTTAATTATTATTGGAAATTGGGGGGGGGAGGGGGAAGATGATGATGATAGTAATAATAGTAATGATAACGATAATGAGTGATGATGACGGTTACGATGAAACGTTTTATTCTGCATCTCGCTGTTGTCGTACGCGAAGAAAATGAAATTTAAAAAAAATATTTGAGGTGGGGGAGGTGGGTTCAAAGGTTACAAAAAACTTTTTCTGCACTTGAACAAACGTAGATTTTTTTTTAATAATAATAATAATAATAATAATTATTATTATTATTACTATTATTACTATTTATAATTAAAAATAATGACAATTGTTGTAATGTAATATAACGAATGAAAAGTTTGTGTGTCTTTTTTTTTTTTTTTTGTGGACATTTTGTATAAAGTTTTTTTTTATTATTATTATTAAAAAATATTAAATAAATTTTAAAGACTTATTAAAAAAAAAAAAAAAAAAAATGCGACGATACGAAAATAATAATAATAATAATAGTTTTTGTGATAATTTTTTTTTTTTTATTATTCTATTCAAAAGAAACAGAAAAGGCAATTTTTAAATTGAAAACTAGAATTTCTATTTTAATAATATTAATAATAATAATAATAATAATAATGATGAAATGATGCTTTTTTTGTTGCTTTAAGGTTAACTAACTAACTCTATTAAACAATTTACAACCCAAAATGAAAAGAAAATGTGAAAGTTAACAAAGTTGTTGTTTGTCTGGTACCACGATTAAAGCTTAACAATAATTTACGTTATTGAAAAAAATAAAAATTTTCTTTTTTTCTAGGTCTCTACTTAAAGAATGAACTTATAAATAAAATAAATAAATAAATAAATAAATATTAGAATAACAAATTATTGAGAACCAAAAAAAAAATAAAAATGGAATTCAATTGTGTTATCACACAATATATATATGATATAATTTTATAATTAAATAACGGAAATGAAAAAACAAACAAACAAACAAACAAACGTGTTCTTCTTCCATTGAATAATTTATATTCATCGGCCATCTTCATTAACTTTTTTTTACAATCATCATTATCTGTTGCATGTGTTATTTATTGTATTTAATAAATAAGTAAATAAATAAATAAATGAATGAAAAATGATTTTGCTATTTAATAAAATAATAACTTCTTTTAAATAAATCTATTTTTTTTTCATTGTTTCTTTTTTCATTTTTTCATTTTCTCTCTCTCTCTCTCTCATTTATTTTAATTCTAAAAGTAACATTTTATCATTAATAATAATAATAATAACAAGAACGATAATAATTTTTTTTGGATAAATGAATGAAAAACTCCATTAAAATAATTTTGTCATTGTTGTTTGATAAAAATTCCGCTTGGCGTGCTGTTGTCGATTTTTAAAAATGGCGCGTAAAAATTTAATAAGGATTATTTAGGTTCAAGCATGGGTTCAAGCAAAATTTGTGTTTGTTTTTGGTTGTGAGGTTTTCTCGTGTGAAAAAAGGAATGAAAAATGTTTGTCGTTTGTTTGAAAATATATAAATCACGTAGAAAACAAACGCGTGAGGAATTAATTTAATTAATTTACACACGTGGTGGAAAGGATGAGAAAGAGAAGGAGGGGATTTTTGTTGAAACGTGTAAAAATTTCACGGTGAGTATCGAGACGACGGAGACGATGGAGAAGAAGATTATGCAACGTTGCCAAATCTTCGAAAATTTAAACTCAACGTTTTTTTTTTTCGAACGGTCGAAATGTTTTTTTCTTTTTTTTTAACGGAAAACGGTTTTTTTTTTTTTTAAAAAAAACTAATATTTAAAAGTTTTTGTTTGGTGGTATTTAATCCTTTTTAAACGTTTTAAAATCTAAAAACTCTTTTAAATAATGATAATAGGAGGAATCGTTTTGAAATCGTTATTACGTTAATGAAAGAAACAAAATGGCGGAGGTTATTAAGAGGAAGGAGAGGAAAAAGTGTGTCGGAGAAATTAATCAAAACAAAAAGAAAATACCGCAATTGTAATTATTAAGGTAATTAATATTATTTACTGTCTTACCAATGGGGGGTGGTGGGGGGCGGAGAATGTTAAAAAAGTCGGCAGGTAATTGAAAAAAAGAGGAAAAAAATAATAATAATGATGATAATAAAAAAACCGTTAGTACAAAGCCGACAAATTTTTTTTTTTTTCCTTTTTTCTGGGGGAGTAAAAAACCGTTAACGCGTTTTGAAAACATTTTCCGAAAGTTTTTTTTTTTTTAAATAAAAATTTAAAAAAAAAGAAAAAACAATTAAATTAAAAATTTTTTTTTACGAGAATCCATAAAAAATTTTTTTTCTTCTGGCACGTAATCTAAGTAAAATATTTTTTGATTTATTATATTAAAAAAATGAAAAGTTAATAGATTTTTTTTATTTTTTTTTATTAATTAATAAAAATCGATCGTAAAATATTATTTTATTAAACGTTGAAAAACTTTTTTTTTTTTTTTTTATGAATTTTTATTTAAAAAAAAAACAAAAAAAAAACAAAATGGCGAGTTGTAACCTTTCGTCTTTTACTTCCTTCGCTTTTTTTTCTAACAAAATGGCGGCGGAGAATTTTTTTTTTTTTTTTTTACTGCGTTTTCGTATAAATTTGCAAACAAACGGTTGGTTCATGTTCCTCGAGGCAAAATTATATTAATTTATCATAATCTCATGAAATAATAATAATTTAAAAGTTATGCCAACTTAATAACACAAAATTAACGGAAATTTAATCAGGGATGCCAATTTCCAGAAGAAAAAAATTTTTTTTATATTTGTCTAAATATCAATTTTTTAATTATACAAAAAAAAAAAAAAAAAATCAAAAACGATTGTTACAAACCGAAAAAAAATTCAAAATGGAGGTTTTTTTTATTTTTTCTTCTGCCACGACGATTTTTTTTTTGTCTTACAACAATTGAAAGGTTATTGAAATTCTTTTTTTTTTTTTTAAATACAAAAAAATTTCAACGAGTTTTTTTTTTCTTTGTCCGTTACGGTTTAAATCTTCTTCACTCGTTAAACATAACAATAATAATGAATAATAATAATAATAATAATAATAATAATAATAATAATAATAATAATAGTTATAGTAAAATTTTTAATTACTTTTTTTATTTTGGACGGTTTTTACGGCGACGTCGGGGGCGCCCTAAAAAAAATACCCATAAATAAAAATAAGACCCCCCAAAAATAAAAAAAATTTGTAACGCCGGGGCCCAAGAAGCCGACGACAATTTTTTTTATTTTCAAAAAAAAAAAAAAAAAAAAAAAAAGAAAATTTCCCGAAGGAAGGTGATTTTTTTTTTTTTTTTTTTTTTTGGTTTTTGGCAGCAACGAATCAGTAAATTGCGAGTCGGGGCCAACAGTAGAAAAATCGGTGGACGGTTTTTTTTTTTTTTTCTTTTCTTTTCTCATTTATTATTATTATTATTATTATTATTATTATTATTATTATTATTTTCGTTTGTTTTGTTTGTTTAGTTTCTTTTTTTTTTTTTTTTTTAAAGCGGCCATTGTTATTTTTATAAATAATAATAATAATATAAAAAATCATCGGTAAGAATCTTTAAATTATTTTTTTTTTTAATTTTAATTTTACAAATTGTTGTTTGTTGTTTGTATTTATTTATTTATTTAAATAACAAATAAATAAAATACATAATTTATTGTTTGTTCGAATAGGTAAATTTTTAATTTAAAAAAAAAAAAAGGAAAATGGCGGATGTTTACGCGTGTTTAACTTATGATAATAATTTATAATAAATTTTAATTGGAAATTTTTTTTTTTTTTGGTTGTTGTTTCGAAAATTTGTTTGTTGAATTTGATTCCCCCCGTATGTTTGTTCTTTTGTTTGTTTGTTTGTTTGTATAACGAATGTCCTAAATTTTAAATTTAATACAAATTTAATTAAATAATAAATTTAAAAAAAAAAAAATTTTTCCAGATATGGCTTGTAAAAGTGGAGGAAATGGATTTTCACAAATGGAAGAATTAATTATGCTTCCATATTCGTTTCGAACCGTAAGTAAAACGTACCTGAAATCAATCTCACCTTTTAAATTTAATAATAATAATAATAATAATAATAATAATTTTAAGTGGGGGAAAAAAAAATTATAATGGAAAAATGGAGAAAAATTTATTTGATAACAATTTTTTTAAAAATTTGTTTGATTGTTTTTTTTAATTAATAATAATAATAATAATAAATGATAAATAGTTTGTATTATTAATAATAAAAAATAATAAATAAATAAAAAGGTTAAAGAGGAAGTGGTTGGTTTGGTTGTTATTGTTGTTGTCGTTTGTTGTTATTAATTTTAGAGTGGAAGAGCACAAACGTGTTCGACGATATTTTGGCTTAACTATGGCGCCACCTCTTTGCTATTAGTCGGAGCAAGTTTAATGGTTACGATAAAACAGTTCGGTGGACGTCCGATAGAGTGCATGGTTGACAAAGAATTAAACGGAGAAGTAGTGAATAATTATTGTTGGATACATTCGACATTTTCATCGTGGAAAATTTTTGATAATTTTAACGAAAGCGATTCGGTCGAAACGGGGGATGATAATGATGATAAATCAAATTCGAATAAGTTTATTTTCATGTTGGAAAACGATCGTTTTAAATTATACAATTCGAAACAGATAAATGAGGATAACATGAATCCATTGTCAAGGTATTCTGATAGATTTTGGCACAGTCATGGACCTTATCCTGGAGTGGATACCATCACCGATGATAGTTTTTTAAGATATCATAAATACGTACAATGGGTTGCTGGAATTTTAGTTATCCAGGTAAGACACATTTACAATTTCTTTCATTTTACGACGATGAAATTACCTTGGGAAAATTTGGAAAAACACCGACAACCGTCATCGCCTCCCCTTTTTTTAAAATTAAACCTATAAAAAAAGGCAAAGATGAATCAACCCATCCTAATGTAAATGATAAAATTCACACACGGGAAGGGAAAAATTCCATAAAATTTTTCCAGAACATAAATATGGCACACCTCCCCCCCCCCAAAAAAAAAAAAAACAAACGAAGGAGGAACGAGAAAAAAAAATGGCGTTGAAACTAAAATTAATTATCTAATATTTTGGTCTGCCGATTTGCAAAACTGAAAATTATAACCATGAAATTAAATCTGACGAATGATAAATCATTCATTCATTCATTCATTCATTCATTCATTCATTCACATTCTGGTATTCGTTTTTAAAAACGGTTGATTATGCAAAAAAAAAAAAAAAAAACGAATCTTAAACCGATTGAATTTGTGAACAAAAAAAAAAAAAAAATTTTATAGTTTCCTGTTTTTCCTTTCGGTTGGTTTGATTGTTGTTGTTGTCGTTTGTTGTCGTTTGTTTCGTCTACATTACTACAACCAAATATTTTCTTTTATTAAAAATTATAATCCAAGTTTAACTTTTTTTTTTTTTTATAAAACGATTTACGATTAATTTCTAGCGCTATAATTTTTTTTTTTTTAAACAACAACCGACTCAAATTGTTTGTTGATTGTTGCTATATTATGACGAGTTATTTATTCGTTTACACGGCAACTATATTTTTACTTCTTTAACTATAAATATTTAAAACTAGTCTATAAATTTCTTTTTTTGTTTCGTTCAGGTATTAATTATTTTACTGCGCTATAAAGAGAAAAATACCGTGAAATGAAAATTTTTTCTCTTTCTCTTTCTTTTACAACATAATTAACGCGCTATAATTTCGTTTTGTTTTTTTTTACGCTATAAACCCCCTCCCCCCCCAAAAAAAAAAAATATATATTTTAAACATCAAAAGATTTATTTAATAATAATAATAATAATTGAATCGTTTAAAAAAATAAACGAAAGGAAAGTAGTGAAAATTTAAAAAAATAAAATTTTACAACAAACAAAACAAACAAAAAAACAAACAAAGTTGATGGGTAAATTGTTTAATAAATATAATGATGATTTATTAACGTTAAATTTAACGTAAATAAAATAATTAAAAAAATTTTTTTTTGTAAATTTGAAAAAAAAACGGCGAGGGGAGGGGAAGGGTGGAAAAGAGCGATTAAGAAAATTTATAAATTTATATCTTTGACCTGATTTTTTATCTCCCTCTCTTTCTTTCTCTCTCTTTCTCTCTCTCTCTCTCTCTCTATACTATCATTTCGAATAATTTATAGTCTGATTTATAATTTATAGTTTTTGTTAATTATTAATAAAAAAAAAAAAATAAGAGAAGATCGTTAACGTTTTTTTTCTTATAATTACACGATGGTGAAAATAAATAAATAAATTTAAAAGTAAAAATTTTTCTCCAGGGAAAAAATTTTTTTTTTTTTGTGTTTGAGTAAATGTGACGTCATCGAAAAGAATTTATGGTTACTGGAAAAGAAAGAAAGAAAGAAAAAATGTATAGTTCCAGTGATATGATTGTCGTTTACAAATTTTAGTCTTACGTCATACAAAGTAATAAATTTATTATGGAGAAAAAGAAAAAAAAGTAAATAAAATAGTTGACGGTAAAAATGTTTTTTGAGTGTGTTTTGTCCATTTGAAATCGCCCCTTTCTCTCTCTCTCTCTCTCTTTTTTGTTTCTCATTTCCTTATTTCTGTCTCTCTCTCTCTCTCTCTCTTTTGCCCTTTTTCTTTGTCTTTTTGTCCCTCTCTCTCTTTCTGTTTTTATTCCCTTTTCTTTTTTCTCTCACCTTTCTCTTTGTTTCCGTTTTCATTTGGCTTTCTCTCGTCCTTTTTCATTGTTCGTCTCTTTCTTTCTTCTCTTTTTCTCTGTCTCTTTCACATTCTTTCTCATTTCCTTATTTCTGTTTGTCTCTCTCTTTCATAGTTTCTGTTTTCTTTTATCTCTATCTCTGTCTTCCCTATTCATCAATCTCTCTCTCTCTCTCTCGGTCTTTCTACCCATTTCTTTTACCTCTCTTTGTTCCTCATTTCCTTATTTTTTTCTCTGTCTCTCTTTCTTTCCTTTTCCTTTGTCTCTCTCACTTTCTCATTTCCTTATTTTTGTCTCTGTATCTCCCATTTTTAGTTTCTTTTTTTTTCTTTAGTTTTAGGTTTATTTGGCTCTCTCTCTCGCCCTATTCCTTTATCTGTCTCTCTTTCTCTTTGTTTCTATCCCCGTCTTTTCCTTTTCTTCGGCCTCTCTCTCTCTTTCTTTCTCTTCTTTATTGTAAAGTAATTTGCATAAACGACGTACAACGAATTTTTTCATAAATTATTTTCTTATTGCGTGCGTGCGTGCGTGTATGTCCATGTGCGTGTGCATACGTTTATCACGTGCCAATCTAATAATTAAAAATAATAATAATAATAATAATATGAAGAAGATGAAAAAAATTTTTTTTTTCTTTTTTCCAGTCGATTTAATTTGAAGCGAATTTTTTCGTTTTTTTTGTTTTGTTTTTGTTTTTCTATTTTCCGGACATTTTTAATTAACTTGTTTAAAATAATAATAATATTAAAATTTAAAAAAATCAAGTTCGTTCTCTCTCTCTCTCTCTTTCTCTTATTTAGTTTGAATGGTTGCCAACTATGTAAAGAAAAAAAAAAAAAAAAAAAAAGGTAAAAGACCTGTTTTTTTATTTCGCCTTGAATATAATGAAAAAAAAAAAAAACTTTTCGAGCTCAAATTTCCAAAATTTAAAATAAATAAAAACAAATTAAAAATAGAAAAGAAAAAAGAAATTTTTCCTTAATACGTCACTGATTTAATTAATTCGAATGATCGGAGGAGACACAATCAGAATTTTAATCGTGAAAATTTTTTGAAGGTTCGATTTAATCGTTTTTTAGGTGCGTTAAAAAAGGCGTTCGAAGATATCCTTAAAAAAAAAAAAAAAAAATCGAACGTTAATTTACGAACGTGATTTTACAATTTGAAATAAAACTACGAATAATAATAATAATAATAATAATAATAATAATAATAAGGAAATGAAATTTTCAAAACATTGGAAACTTTTTTTTTTTTTTCTTCCTTATTTTCCAAACACGTGTTTCGTCCATTATTAGAACACCGAACGTCTTAACCCTAATTAAGAGACGAACGGATTTAAAATTAAATTGCATTTAAAAGTAAAAAAAAAAAAAAAACATTATGTTGGACAGAGTTCACAACACGAACGGTTTTTAAGATTTTCTCTCTCTCTCTCTCTCTCTCTCTCTCTCTCTCTCTCTCTTTCTCTTTCGAACGTCTGGGAAACAAAAAATTTCTTTTTATTTTTTTTTTTTTAGTGACGCGGTTTCCGTCAAAACCACCGTCCCAACAACACATACGTATATGAGATGCTCAGTTGCATCCGAACGGGATTAGTTGTAATCCGTTCGAAATTTTTTTTTTCTTTTTTTTCGTTTTGTTTTTCCAAAAAATCTTTTTTTTTTTCTACGAATAAATCAGTTCGGTCGTAATTTTTTGTTTTTTGTTTAAAAAAAGTTTTTTTTTTTTTTTGGTTTGTTTGTAAGTGCGTGTGTGAGTGCGAACGCCGTTCGTTCGTTCGTTCGTTGGCAATAATAAATAAGCGGTTTGTTTTATTACGTTTAAGTGAAAACAAAACAGCAGAAAACTTTCTGCCACTTTTTCTTTTCTTTTCTTAAAACATCAAAAATAATTTTTATTTACTTCTTCAGGTTGTTTGTTGGTATAAACAAACAAAGCGTGCGAACGCGTTAATTCTTTTTTTTTTGTTTGTTGGGTGAGAAAAAATTTATTTATAGACTACGCTTAAAAAATATAGACTATAAAAAGAATTATGTGTTTGGATCCCCCATGGATCCCCCGAACGCTATAAAAAAAGTTATCGTTAACGTTTTGTAACGTTTTATAGCGTTAGAATGAAGGAAAAATATAATTATAGCGCTATAAAATGATTAATTATAGTATTTTTAGTATAAAAACTAAAACAAAATCGATGATCGGTTATGACTATAGTGCTATAAATAAAATTTACGAATAAAAGAAAAAAAAATGGCGATTCTTGTTTTTTTTTAAAATAAAATAAACGAGCGCTAACAATAATAATAATAATAATAATAAAATTAACAAACCGTAACTTAAGGGTGACATTTTGCTGACGGGTAAAAAAATTTTTTTTTTTTTTTTAACGTATAAAAACCGGAAATGACGAAGAAACGACAAACAAATCAAAAACTCGTTTCCGTGTTGGTTTTTTTTTCATAGTCTCCCTTTGAAAAAGTGATTTTCTTAAATTTTAACAATTGTAAAAATAAATTTTTTTTTTCTATAGACAAGGAAAAAAGCGGCGCGGGGAGGGGGTGGAAGGGGAGAATTGTAAAATTTGAATGCGCTTCCGGTTTTTCCGGGTGAAAAATTAAAAAAAAAAAAAAACGGGAAACGTGATTTTGATTCCTTCTTCGAAAATCAACTTAAACTTTCCGTACATCATCATCATCATTTTTTTGTTCTTTTGCCACGTTAATAAATTATACTATTGTTTACGTTTTTCATTGGTTAAATAATAATAATAATAATAATAATTTGTCGCCAGATTGAACGAATGATGACGTCAATCATTATTTGTCTCGTTTTTAAAGAACGTTTAAAATCCGTTAAAGTTGGAAACGAGAGAAAGAAAAAAGTCCAAATTTTTTGTATTAATCAAAAATTATTATTATTATTATTAGGGTATCGTTTTTTTTTTGTCGTGGCTGCAGAATTTTTTTTTTTTTTAAGAAAATTTTTATGAAAATTTAAATGAAAAAAAAATAAAATTCGGTTCGTTTATTGAAAAAAAAAATGTCTAATTTTAGACGTGAAATCACTTAAAATTTTCTAAAAAGTTTTTTTTTTCGTATGAAATTAAAAATGCCGCCACCCCCCCACTTAGGCGCCGACTGCGGTCACCCCCGAAAAAAAGAAAAAAAAAATTTTTTTT